GAGTTGGTGATCTCCATTGATCTCGACTCGCTTGCATGCCATGGCGTCACACCTGCAACACGGATGTGTTATGTTACACAGCTCAAAAATCCCTTTTTTTTTTTTTGTTAATTATGATGTTGAGAAAATACGGCGTCCTTACAGGAAAGAACAAGGAGGAGGGTGATGAACTTAGTGATATTGGGCGTCGACATTGTTGTAATTACGATCAATTTATTCGGTGCTTTAATTCTCTGTAGTAGCATTACTACTTCTACTCATTGTATATATATTGGTTAAATTATGACTTTGGGCAAGTTCCAGTTTGAACGTTTCTTCTTGCTCATCTTTTCTCTTTGATTCGCCGTCCGACGGTTGACAGCAGAGAGAAAGAAACCGTTTCTTAATGGATAATAGAATGGTCCTTGCAGGAGGAGGAGATCGATTCCGGTACGCAACTGCAAGAGCGGATGGTCCGCCGCCGGCGGAAATAATATTCCAGCAGGCAGCAGCCGGAAGGATCGAATGGTTACTCTTCCGTCCATTTTCATTAACTTCTGGCAGTCAACTCTAATAATTTATCGTTAATACGTGTGAGGTAAGTTGATCCGAACCCGATCGAGATAGTGGGTCAAGGGTTAAAGGGTCACCTATTTTAGCCCGGAAATATGGAAAGAGTCATTATATTGTACTTATCCTGATAGATTATATCAAATCTCATCTAACATATGAGTTATAACATATAATATTACACAAAAAAAAATATGTCGTATTTAGATCCAACATATAGTGAAAATCCAGACACACTTATATAACATCAATATTCAAATGTTCAACTTAGGATTCCAAAAATTGAGTTAGGAGAAAAGAAAAATCGGAAAACAGACGCATTTCGCAAACCAAAGAAAAATATGACACAATTTGACCTCCAACCCGATACCTTGTAGCGATCGGCCCGGCGGGTGCGTGCTGCCCGCTTTTCTCACCGGGCCAGGGTCAAAACAGGTCAACAACCTACCGTGAGGTGACAATTAAAAATTAATAAAAAAATAAAATTTAATTACTTTAAATTTTCCAACTCATTATCACAAACTTAAAAATAAATAAAAATAATCGTTTACTTTTTTTTTTAAACATGGGCAAGTGAAACTTTGAATTAACCTCAAGCATGGGTAAGTGGAAGTTCATTAATTAATCTTTTAGGAGGGCTCTGGCTTTTCTAATTCTTTTATTTAAAATTTTTTACGAACCTGTTTTCTCGTGCAATTAACACTGCTTTACCTCGACATTAAAACATTGAAAACAACATCATGGAGAATATTGCGTGCTTGTTCTTTGTCCATGCTAGCTCTCGATTATTTGTTTGTTGCCGAAGTCAACCCAACTACTCATTTTTTTAAGACTGTAATCTGTCTCATACAGATCATAATTCTTCCTCAACCTGTCTTTTACATCATTCCCATTCTAGATCCATCACTCCCACTATAAAGGCGAGCGACCAGCATGCCGACACGGTGAAAAGCTTGTCATCTAAGTTGTGGAAAAAAATATTCACCCAAAAAAGTTTATGAAAATTGAGATTTTATTTTACGGAGTTCGTGCATAATTTTTCTTTCAACTTATGTTCGTTTAAGGGATTAGATAGGGTAACAACACCTCTTTTGTTGTTATAATAACAACAAATTTCGCTAGGGGCAAAAAAGTAAAACCAAATGAAATAAAGTCTTATAGAAATTTAAAATTGCGATCCGTACATCTTCTTCAACCCTGCCGCGTTTTCTCCTCCGCCTCTGTTTCTTCTACCACCAGTTCTCCCTGCAAATCTTGCAAGAAGATAGAGATAGGGATGATTCCCGTTCCCCTGCTTCCCACTTAATCACCGCCTAGGAATCGACATCTGGCGCCGGCGGGATCTGATTTTCCGTCGGCAGTGCTATTGGTGAAAACGGCGCTGCCTTAATTTCATTTGCGGCGGCGGGGGAAGATTCAGAGCTGCTGATTATTAACGGCACCCGAAAAGCTTCCTGGGACTGGAGTTCCTGATCCAGCTCCGCATCCAGGGCCTCCAAAAGAAGCCGGTGGGTTCGTGAGGATGTGGTGGTCAAGGATGACTATCATCCCTGTTTCAACGGGCATGGATTTGGGATATGCGTTTGCTGCAATCTTCATGTACTTTCTATTCAGTTGAACCGAGTTTGGGAAATTCATTATCTTTTCATTGTGGAAGTCTGAAGTCTCCATTCTCATCTGACTCGTTCCCTTGAAGCCACATTGTGTCTGTTGCTTCTTATTATTAATAATAATAATAATAATAATAATAATAATAATAATAATAGATCATTGCTTCAATATTTTCTTGGTTTCAGGGGACTAAAGAGCAACTAAATTGATCAATTTGCATTCTCAATTGATTCTATTGTTGTGTTAACTAAAAATCCCACAAACCATACCACAAATATTTCTAAAATACACCAACAACCTCTTCATGTATACCACAAATCTCCCGAAACAAGTTAGAACCATTTTACAAGTAAACCACAAATATTTATAAAGCACACCAGAAAAGCTCATAATGCAAACTATAAATTTTTCGAAACGGACTAGAAATGCCACAGAGCAAACCGCGAATGTTCAAAGCAAACAAAAATTTGCTAATGCAGGCTACAATCATTTTGAAACATACGTGAAACACCACAAATCAAACCACAAATATTTCTAAAACAAACAAGAAACTTCCTAATGCATACAACAAATTTCTCGAAGCACACCACAAATCTCCTAATGTTTGAAACATATGAGAAATACCACAAAGCATACCACAAATTTTTCTAAAGCACAAAAGAAGCCTTCTAATGCATACAACAAATTTCTTAAAGCAAACCAGAAACACCACAACCCAGACCGCAATATTCCTAAAGCACATCAAAAGCATCCTAATGCATACACAAATTTCTTGAAACAGACCAGAAACACCATAAAACAAACCTCAAATATTTTTAAAGCACACCAGGAACCTCCAAATGTAAACCACAAATCTCTTGAAACAAACCAGAAACACCACAAAGCATACCCCAAATATTTCTAAAACACACAAAAAAATCTTAAAACATACCACAAACACGAAAAAACAAACCACAAAAAACAGACCATAAACAAGAGAAATCAAACCACAAATCTCATAAAACAAATCACAAAATACATTACCATAAACAAGAGAAATCAAACCACGAATCTCATAATGCATACCACAAAATTCAACAACTAGTGATTGATGACTAAACTTCGGTCATCGACGGTCATTATAGCATGATGCACTATGTTTTCATGTGTGTCATGACATTATTATTGAATATAAACAAGTTATTTTATATAAAAAAAATTGTCATCCAACTTACTAGCTCGACTCAATGCTAGTTTGTAAATTTACATCGAGTCTCTGATTTATCGATGCATTACATCTGATTCATTCTCTATGAGGGAATCAGAATTATTATTTCAAAATTTATCATTTCTTCATCTTGTTCATAGAAATTAATCTTCCAAGTGTCAGGTAGAACTAGAACTTTAGCTTTGCTGCTATTATTTAAAAAGAAAAGTTCATTCAAAATGGGCCTTGGATAGTGCAGGCGGCCTGCATGGGAGCGGGAAACGCTGATACTTTTTTGTAGGGATCGGACTATTATGCCCTCTTTTAATTTTACGGTAGACAAATTAGTCAACCAATCTCTAATAAAAAGTCAGTAAAACTCTAATTTTCTATTGGCTGATACCTCTGTTGTCACTATAACAACAAATAAAGTGTTGTTATCCTATCTAATCCCTTGGTTTAACTATGAAAATGTTTGTGCGTGAATAACTCATTAATATCTAAACTCATTAACTTATCCCAAAATAAAGGATTTCCAATCCTGGCAGGAAAATGAAGGAAACGATACTCAATTTAAAGTGAAATGAAAAAAATGTTCGAATGATACGATCCTTTCGTCGCCCTCAGAATGAAAGGGGTGATCTCGTAGTTCTTGGCATTTTAAGATATGTAAGATTATGTGTTTTTTCGATTGATGATTGTTGGTTATTTATGATAAAAAAAATTATAAAAAATTGGGACGAATAAATTTTTAATTATGCAAGCTTTTTAATCACAAGGCGTACGAAAAGCTCACATCATGTTCCAGACGATATCATATCAAGAATTGTAAAATGGTATCGAAAATCATACCGAAAAAGTTAACAAGAATATTTTATGATGGAATCCTAATTTAATCATGTTAAAAATCAATTACTAATTTAGACTCCGATAAAAAAGGCTAAATTACACATTTGGTCACTCAAATTACATAAATATTTCACGTTTGCCACCCGAATTACTTTTCTTTCATATTAGTCACTAACTTTACGAATCGTTACACTGTTAGTCACTCAAATTGTAAAACTGACGGAGTTAACGGAGACTGACGGCTGGTGACTAATGGTGAAACGATTCGTAAAGTTAATGGCTAATATGAAAGAAAAGTAAGTAGAGTGACAAACGTGAAAGATTTATGTAATTTGAGTGACTAAACGTGTAATTTTGTCGATAAAAAAAAATTAGTTGGGCCACGGATAGGGTTTCACAAACCCGGCTTCATATATACAACAACGTTCGAAAACTCCAATAAATAAACTTGTGCGTGCGGTGCCTTCAAGCTCAAGGTTGGATTGGCCCTCTCTCATATTATAACCCAAAAAAAGAGCAAAGATTATAACACTACACAAAAAAGCTCGTATTTTGCTCCATAAAGAGAAAGAAAGAACCAATCACAAACGGCCACGAAAAGTGAACCGATCTCCCCCGCAGAAAAGAAAGTGGCACCTTCGAATTAGCTGCTTTTGCCGCCGGCCGGTCACCATTTCCCTTTTCCTTTCTTCAACTTAAAGCTCTCTCTGGAGCCAAACAAAAGTTACCACCACAATCGAAATTCCAAAGCATCATGATCATTAATATAGCAATACCCATTACAGGAGTGTAATTAACAACAAATCTACATCGGATTAACCGCATTATTCCTCTGTTCCCCTTTCGCACCCAGATGGTGATGATTATTGTAATCATGATTACAACTACTAGGATTATGTTGATGGTGGTGGTGGTGTGGCCGGAAAATCCATCTCCAGCTCTTGAAGCTCTTCCGGCTCCGTTTAATCCCTCTGTCACCCACCGTCATTCGAAACGACCCGCCGTTTCGGTCTCCTCCCGCCATCCCGTACTCCGTCGCCTCTTCCGCCGCCGGCGGCCTCGACTCCGACGACGGGAAGTCGAATTTCAGGTCGATGAATCCCGAGTCGTCGACGGCGGTCGTGAAATTGCCTTCACGGAGTGAGGAAACCCGCGGGATCGAACAATCCCTCTTCTGATTCTCCACGTCGAACCCGCTCTTCCTGGGCTCGGACTCGCTGTACCCGCTTTTCCTGTCCGGGTCGAAAACCAGCCCGTTGAAACCGGAGCTCCGGGCCGCGGAGAGAGAGCTCCTGGCGCCGGAAACAGAGCTTCTCGCCCCTGAATAGGTACCGTCCTCCGACCCCGCGAAAAACCCACCTCCTCCGCCGCCGCCGCTGCCGCCCCTGAAGCTGCACAACGATCTCGACCTCGAAACCATCCCGCCGCAACCGCCGCCCCCCGCGTAATCGCCGTCGAGAACCCACAGGTCGCCGTTCCGGTCTTCAATTCCGGCGACGCTGTGTGGAATTCTGTTACCACTACTGCGACTACCCAATTTCTCCTTCGATCTCCTGGTGAAGAACCTACCGATTTTCCACAACCCGCCTCTCCGGCGCTTGATCTCGACGCAGCTGCTGCTGCTCCGCTTCAAGATCAGAACTTCCGCCGGCGGCTGCGGCGGCTTGTTTGAATTCGAACGGTTTAGACTGTTGGAAGGCTGAAATTGAGCATTGTTCTCGATTAGGAAGGAGACGCTGCCGACTTCCAGATTGGAATTGCTGGAATTGGAGGCGCGATTGGGGGAGATTTGGGAGCAGGAGCAGGAAGAGAGGCGCTGCTCGCCGCAATCGGAGCAGAGCAGAGTGAGGAGGCGTTCTTTGAGACAGTGGGGGCAGATTCCGACGGGCGGTGAAGAAGAAGAAGGAGAAGGGTGTCGCTTGCAGGGGAGGTAAGAGGCAGAGTCGTCGTCGTCGTGGAGGAACAATTCGCCATTTTTGTTGTTGGTTGGATCCAGAGCTTTTCCTCTGTCTCTCATTGTGAATTGGTGAAAATGACAGAGCAGAGAGTTAACGTAGGAAGGGGAAGAGGAGAAGGCGTCAAGAAGGGATTTTGTCAAGAAGAGTGAGGAGCGGGGTCTGATATGATTGGAGAAGAAGAAGAAGAAGATGATGATGCAGCGAGAGTGGAAGAAGACAGTCACAGTACTACTAGCACAAAGCTTCTCTTCTCCGTCGAGTCCTTTTTCCTTTATTTTTAATTGTCTTTTCCCCCATTTGCTTTCCTTTTCCGCCTCTGTCTTTTCCATTATTTTGTTAGCTTTTCTGTCATTTTCTTGTTTCCGTGTGTATTTGGGGAAAATATCGTAGGTTTCATTTGGCACGACTGCCTGCATTTCAAGAAATTAAATGGTTAGAATATATATGTTGTTAATGGTGTTCCATTGTGACAAGAATAATAGACTCAACCCATGAACAATATGAGCTCGAAGTTTCCTTTGTAGCTCTTAAAACTTCTTCGTACTGTGTTCGTTCCATGCCTCATTTCGTAGGGAAGCTAAAAGTGGCTCCACTATTATCTGTTATATTCAAACGAGATTTGCTGTTGAATCATATCATTTTTTTTAATTTATTATTGCACGATTAAGTTGTAAACATGAGCAAGCATGATAAATGTAAAAAAAAAAATAGGGATTGGGGAAACGTGTTTGGCCACTCAATTCACTTGTGGCTTGCTCAGTTCATAGTGAGAGAACACGGTACAGCTTTATATACCCATCAATCAATCAATTAATCGATGAAGGTGATACATCAAACTCAGAAGGCCTTTTCTTCAAGATTTTCCACTCTAGCTCTGTAGCTTGAGTATGAACTTTCAAGAGCAACATGACAGAAACGAAGTGAAGTGAAGGTTGTCGAACCCATCACCCGAAAAAACTTTCCCATCAAAGCTTTTTTAGCAACAACGAACAAGCTAAGTCATACATTTGTCCACTTCTTCTCCTTCGCCATGATATATACAAACATGCACATATCTTTACGTTATATCCTTTTCATTGAACAAGACTAATTATTTTAATATATAAAACTTAATATTGGAGTTACTATTTATTAGTGTCTTCCAAACTCCTTCAAGTGCTCCTTCTAGTGCGAGTTAGCAACCTTTATTTGTTTGTTTTTCTTCACTAACATATCTTTTTTCCTGAATCTCTAAAATTTAGAGAACCTTCTATTAACCCACTCTCCTATTTCATACAATTTGTTTGAACTTTTGTCCATTAGGTTTTTCCAATCTAATGTCCTCCATGTGCTCAAATATCTCCCAAATGTCTTCTTTTACCCCTTTATTTGTTTGTTTTTCTTCACTCACATATCTTTTAACTACACAATATTAAGTTATATATTGATGATAGTTTTTTTTAATACTTATTGATTTCTTGAATTTGACTGATATTGTAATAGAAGGAAGTTAAATGTTGTTGATCCTATCGATAGTTTGACGTATATGTCAACTTGTGCTCATTGAGCTCACTTTTAGAGCTAAGCTCGAGTTTGGCTCATTAACTCCACTTTACTAAACCTAGCTGCTTGAGATGAGGCGAGCAGAGCTCAAACTAAAATTTCACAAACGAGTTGAACTCGAGCTCCAATATATTTCTTACCGAGCCGAGCTCAAGTTAGGAGGCCGCTCGAATCAGCTTGGCTCATCAGTTGTCCTTAAAGTGAACAAGATTGTTTGTGTGGGTTGATGTGGTAGGATAGCGTCATGCATGCATGATTTGTAATCATATCATGTATAAAAGTTTTTACACCGTATCTTAATTGGTAAGGAGTTGTCTAGCCACATAAACTTTACAAACATACATGTAAAGTGAAATATCGTATGATACATAGTCATATCTCTTTTAATAATTCGAGTTATCCAAATCAGTTCATTCATGACAACCGGTTCAATTGTCCCTGAACATAATTTGGCATTAACAGTAGCTATAGAGAACCCAGTAGTCTGGGGATTTTTCCAGAAATACCACTATTTAATAAAAATATTACAAAAATACCACCCAATGCAAAAAATTTCCACTTATACCACCTTTTTCTAAAAACTGTTGCCAGAGGGGGCGTTTTTAATGTAAACCGCTCTGGTAAAGAGCGGTTTTGATTTGGGCAACAAACCGCCCCTCCCAGGCGCGGTTTTAAGGCTGCCCTAGGTCAACATGACAGAAACCGCTCTATCTAGGTGCGGTCTGTTGAAACCGCTCTGGGGAGAAACGGTTTTTGTTTGAGCCTAGCTGGGTGTAGGAGGTAGGTTCTGGGAAGAGAATGGGTCAAGCAGAGTAGACGATGGAAGATAAACGATCTCACGTGAAATAGGGGTCGGAGAGAATGGAATTGAGAGAATTGAAGATAGACGATGTATAAGCGCCTTAACTGCTCCGTTGGGCGGCTCTCCCCGTCCATTATCATGCACGCGAGCTGTCTCCGCCTCGCGTGCAAAAGGCTTAACATCGAGCCGACTTACGGCTTGTTCCGAAAGATATATAAGATCAAGGAGCCAACATCACGACGCGACTGTCTTTCCATCAAGCGTCGCGACAACCAGCCCGAAGGCTTCGTGTATGGATCGCCCAAGTTGAAGAAAACTTGGTTCGAGCTATTCTTCTACGTCAAGTCCACTCTCGGAGAGTGGGCGAGTGAGTCTATGGAGAAGCCTAGCGTCTGGAAGAAGGGCAGCACGCTCGGATATGAGTCGGATGCTGGCAACTACGACGGGCTCAACGATGAATATGAGGCGTGCATGCCTCATCGGATCAATTTATACGCGGGGGGAGTCCGCGAGGCTTGTTTGGAGGAGCTGTTTGGCGATGGTTAGTTGTATTTCTTTTCTTTTGCATTCTATCATATTAACCGCTCTCTTACGATTTATTGGCGCAGGTGTTGACTTTTCCAGCCTCGTCAGCATGATGTCGGTTGACGACGTCGTGAAGGCGTCGCGCTCTGACAACAAGAAGAAGAATGCTGGCGCGGTGCCGAGGACTTCGAAGCGGAAGGAAATCGAGCAGCCGCAGGCAGTTGAAAAGCCTCGCAAGGCGATTCGTTTGGCGGAACCAACTGCGCGGGTGGTGCAGACTCCGCGAGCGGAACAACTGTCGTCTGCGGTGCGACAGTTGTCTCTGGCGCTTTTGGAGTCAGAGGCGCCGGTTAATAGGCCTTCTCGGCCTGAGAGAGAAATAGCTGGCAGCTCGTCGGGGGCTACTATCCAGCAAAGGTTGCCCGAGATGGCCGGGTTTGGGGGGACCCCTGCCACTGTCGCTCCTGCCGCCGCTGGTGTCAACTACTTCCGCGATGTGCGGATTCACACCGGGGCGGCTTGCAATTTGGCGTCCGCAAATACCGCCCTCCGGGTGCTCGGGCATGTCCTCAGTATTCCGCCGCGATTGGAGAAATCCGATCCCCTTCATGACCTGGCTCAGGTCCATTTCGCGGTAAGATCGGGTCGAGTTATCGCGGAGTTTGAAGTTATCTTCTTCTTGTCTCTCTTTCTTATTTATATAGGCAATGTTTTGCTAAGGCTTTTGGCGTTGTGGTTGTAGGGCTTGTTGGCAACCTTCCGAGCTCAACAAGAGCGCGCCTCACAGCGCGCGAGGATGAAGGCCGACGAGGCGAAGATAGTCCAGCTGGAGGGAAAGGTTCTCGGGGCGAACAATCGTGCCGACTTGGCAACGAACAAAGCCAACGAGGCAATGGAGGAGCTCGGCGTTTTGCAGAGCAAGTTAGCCGCCGACGTGGAGGCGGCTAAGGAGCAAGTGCGGGTCGAGGAGCGCTCCACCATCCGAGAACAGCTGGAGGCCTCTTTTGCCGAGAAGTTGAAGCAAGCTCGCGAAGAATTTCAGAAGGAGAAGGACGATCTGGTCCGCCTTCACAACGTCGCAAAAGCGGAAGCTGTTCGTGCGGCCGAGGTTGCGGCCGTCCGTCAGTTCAAGTCTTCTCCTTCTTTTGGGAAGATTTTGGCGGACGCCATGACCAAGGCCGTGATCGCGGTCCGGAAGAAGGTTCGTCCAGAGAACCCGGGGGTTCGCTGGGATACTCGCGAGATGGTCCAACACGTTAGGATGTGGATAGGCGAGAAGCGGCCCTTGGAGTCTGACTCCGAGTTGGGGGACGAGGAAGATGAGGAGGAAGAGGAGGAGCGCCCGGAAGCGGAGGAGCGCCAGGAGCGCCCGGAAGGGATGGCGAGGTAGCCGATGATGACGAGGAAGAGGAGGAGCTCCCCTTGCTGCGCCGCAAGCAGAGCCGGGAGGATGTACAGCCTAACACTGATGGTGCTTAAGTGTTGTCGCGCTGACATGTTTCCTTCTTGAACTTGTTGTTTTGTTGGCTTCGTTTTTTTTTCTCTTTTTTTTTAAGTGTAGTTGCGAACAATGTTGGTGCTCCCGCTTTAACTAAATCCAAACAGTCTTCGTTTGTGGTGCCTATTTGTTTTGTCTCTTCGAACCGAGTATACGCGAATGGTTCTTGCCCATTGCTATTGTTTGTTCTTTCGAACCGAGTGTGCGCGAATGGTCCGTGCCCATTGCTGTTGTTTTTTCTTTCAAACCTAGTGTGCGCGAATGGTTCTTGCCCATTGCTATTGTTTGTTCTTTCGAACCGAGTGTGCGCGAATGGTTCGTGCCCATTGCTATTGTTTGTTCTTTCGAACCGAGCGTGCGCGAATGGTTCTTGCCCATTGCTATTGTTTTTTCTTTCAAACCTAGTGTGCGCGAATGGTTCTTGCCCATTGCTATTGTTTGTTCTTTCGAACCGAGTGTGCGCGAATGGTTCGTGCCTATTGCTATTGTTTGTTCTTTTGAACCGAGCGTGCACGAATGATTCTTGCCCATTGCTATTGCTTTGTTCTGGCGAACTGAATATTTCATTAATCTGCGTGCGTCAACGCCACATTGTAAACAAGAAATATATCAAGTAGACTGGTAGTATTTCCTGAGATTCTGTGTGTTCCATGTCCTTGGAATTTTCCTTCCGCACAGCTCGCTGAGTTTGA